TGTGTTATGACCACTCGCCTCCGTCACTCCGTGCTGCTTAAGGTATGTTTTGTATTAATGAAAATACTTGTGATATAATTAATGCACTTGTAGTAATGAAACTACTCGTGAAGAACTTGTGTGTTACTTGTTATCATGGGGCTTAGGATCTAACCACCTTGATTTAATCGAACTCTAGTGTATGTGGCGAACTCTAGACTTCTGATGTATTATTGTTTGTTTTTCTGTGCTAACTTCGCTCGACTTATTCTAATGTAGAAATATGAATACTCGCAACCGTAACCGTCAGCCATCCCCATCTCCTTCTCCTCCTCGTCGTCAGCACCAGGCCCCTCCGGCCATGGACCTCACTCAACTTATTGTTCAGTTTCAGCGCATGAATGCGCCAACTTTCTCGGGGACTGAGAACCCCACAGCAGTGCTTGAGTGGATGAAGGAGCTGGACAAAATCTTTGTTGTACTCCCCGGTCTCAACCAGAGGATCCGTGAGTTGGTGGGAAGTCATGGACCGATGTCCTATGCTGATACCGTGAGCCGAGCTCAGGAGGTGGAGAGCTGTCTCATCCCGGTTGTTTCCGTTCCATCTTATTCTCCTGCCTCTCAGCCTCCTCAGACTATCCAGTATGCTCAGCCCATCTCGACCGTGCCGCCCGGCTCTAGCTCGGGTAAGAGGAAGTCCGACTTCAAGAACAAGAACAAGGGCAAGAGAGTAAACTTTGATAGGCGTGACAACCGACCTTCCTCCGGCCAAGCCAGCCAGAAATGCGGTAGATCCCATAGCGGTGAGTGCCTAGCTAACCAGCGCACCTGTTTCAACTGCAACCGCCCGGGACACTATGCTAATGTTTGCCGCGAGCCAAAGAAACAGCAGCAGCAGCAACCGCCCTATCCTTAGCAGCAGCAGCTTCACCCACCACCACCACATCAGCAGCATCAGCAGCAGCAGCAGCAGCCCCCACCGTTCCAGCAGAGGGCTGGAGGTCAGGCCCGTGTCTATACCCTCACCCATGATGAGGCCGCTCGTAATGCAGGTACCATGTCCGGAATGCTTTCTATATCCCATGTGCCTGTTTTTGCTTTGTGTGATACCGGTGCTACCCATTCTTTTATCTCGTCTCATTGTCTGGAGGCCTTATCTATTAGCACCGTGCATGCTTGTGATCCTCTCGAGGTTAGCTTAGCCTCGGGAAAAATTATTATTTCTGATTCGGTAGTTCGCGATCTTCCCATTTGTGTTGGTGGTCGAGTTCTGAAGGCCGATGTATATGTTATTGATATGCGAGATTTCGACTTGATCTTGGGCATGGATTGGCTCACCCGTTATCGAGCCGACATCCGGTGCCAGGAGCGCGAAGTCACTCTCTATCCCGTTTCCGATCAGCCTGTTGTGTTCTTTGGGGTGAGTTCGAGGACTGTGCCTCGGGTCATCTCTTCTATGCAAGCTAGGAAGAGCCTTTCCAGGGGTAGCTGTCAAGGCTACCTTGTCTCTATGGTATCCGACGCCGTTGAAAAGCGGGTGCCCGAGCGAGTATCTATTGTTTGCGAGTACCTGGACGTCTTTCCCGATGATTTGCCCGGAGGACCGCCAGACCGCCAGGTGGAGTTCTGTGACGCCCCGTTCATTTATGAATAATTTGGATTATTGTTATTATTATTATTATTATTATTATTTTTGTCATTATTTGTGGCTAATATTATTATTGGTAATTGATTGTCTAAATGCTTAAATGATTTTAAATGCCTAGTTGTATTTATTATATGTATTTTATAATTATGGTATTTTATTTTAATTATTAAATACCATTTTAAATATTTTAATTATTATTATTGTAATATTTATTTCGTTGAACCGAGCTTCTTCGAACCCGAGACCGCGAGCCCGTGAGCTCCGCCCAAGCCGCGCCTAAGCCGCGCCCCATCCGCCCCATTTCTCCTCTCCTTCCTTTTTGTGTGTGGTGTTTATTTTGGCAAGTCTTGTAGGTTAAGCCAAAATACCTAGCATTATATATATGGGAGATTCATTCTCCCCTTCTTCATTTTTTCCCTAGCCGCCGACCCCCCATCTCTCATCTCTCTCTCCCTCACTTTCTCCCCCCCGATCGCTCTCGCCCTCTCCTTTTTTTTATCGCCGTGCCCGTCGCATTCGCCTTCCCCGCGCGACCACCCCTCAGG